AGCTGCGCCATAACTGCCTGGAAGGCCGTGATTTGAAAATGGACGCCAATCTCCCATTTCATGATATCTTCGAACAGCTCCTTCCGCAGAATGCGCAGCACGTGTGATTTCCCTGTGCCGGGCCCCCCGCGCATGCACCGTCGCAGCGGGTCACCCATGCCCGCGCCCCCTCGTGCCTCCCCGTCTAGCTCTTGCATCGTCCTCTCTGCTACCTGCTTGACCATCTCGAACTGCTTCGCGTTGACAACGCGCCGGCCTGTCTCTTTGCCTGTCCTGAACTCCAGCTTCCTGAGCCACTCTGCCACCTGGTCCGATGTCGCCCCAGCCTGCGTCTCCACCTTCCCAATTTCTTCCACCGCCGCCACTCAGTCGGCCATTGATTTCTCCTTGTTGCGCGACGCCCTTGCTGCGGCCTGCACGGCTTCCAGATCACAGCTGACCGCTCTCGGCCACGCGCCCCGGACCTCACCGAGCGACTTTTCACCCGGGCGCTGGCCCCACACATCCTGGGCCCTGGCCACGCCTGCTTTAGAGTTCGCGTAATGGGAACATCCACTCAGACCACCCTCCAGGCCACCGTCGTCTTCTCCACTGCTGCTGTCACCGTCGCCGTCTGCACGTTTGCGACCAACGACCCGTGACTTCAGAGCCTCGTCCAGCTAGTCGAATCCAATCTCCAACTCTTCGTCGCTCACGTCCTCGTCACTCCGCGCGCCCTCGTGTTCCGAATCCCTCGGACGCACGCGGTACACGCTGAGGGAATTGCCCACGTGCCGCGCAGCCTCTTCCGACTGCGCTCCGCCGTCCAGCCACGACACCAAGGCGCCCTCCCACGTTGTCGAGCTCCGCCGCAGGGCGCCTGCGAACACCACGTGCTCGTCTGCCTCTGATTGCCGCAGCGTCCACGGGTGAAAGTAAGACATGACAATCCGCGCCGATCGTTCAGCTTCTCCACTTCGGCTACGCGGCACCGGCGCCCCGAAAAATGTTGGCGCCAAAGGCCTCTGGTTGCGGACGAGAACCCACGTGTGCCGCAGATGCCGGCAGCCGTCAGTGTCTGGATACGCCACCCAATCCTTTCCAGCGTCCCCCTTCACCATGTAGTCCACCCCGGGCACAAGCTCTTCTGCCTGCTCTGGATTCCGGCCCCACTCTTTCACTTTCTGCTCTCCTCCCGCTGTCAAGGTGCCTGTCGCGGTCGGCTTTCGCGTCCCTGACTCTGGTTGGGTACGCCACGAGCACGGGCCTCCAATACGTTGCGAACTCGTACGGCGACAAGTGCCACAGGCCGTCCCGCTTCGGGCGCAGTTCAGATCCGGGCATTCATGAGCCCTGAGCTGGAAGGGATGTCTCGCGTGCCTCGAAGCCTAGAACTGCGAGGGTGTCCGCAGCGAAAAGGCCTGGACCGCCTCAGCACAGCGGCCGACATCTCGAAGACCACAATGGCAGGGATGTCCCAGGCCAAACCGACCCGACCGCATCGCAAACGGCACCTGAGGGACCGAACAGAACGCAGCTGGGTTCGCAGCACACCTATGAGACCGAACAGAAAGCCTTCGAAAGCTTCCGACAACAAATCGGCGAAGAAAATCGCCGTCATCATCATCATCATCATCATCATCATCATCATCATCATCATCATCAGCATCAGCATCATCATCATCATCATCACCATTATCATCATCATCATCATCATCATCATCATCATCATCATCATCATCATCATCATCATCATTGTCATCATTGTCATCATTGTCATCATCATCATCATCATCATCATCATCATCATCATCATCATCATCATGCTTCATCAACATCATCATCACCATCATCATCATCATCAGCATCATCAGCATCATCATCAGCATCATCATAATCATCAGCATCATCCTCATCATCATCATTACCATAAACAACATTAGCATCATCATCACCATCATAATATTCCGCCTCCTCCTCGTCCTCATCGACATCGTCTCCCATGTCGTCGTCGTCCTCCTCCTCCTTCTCCGCCGCCTCCTCCTCCTCCGCCTTCTCCGCATCCCTCCTCCCTCTCCTCCTCCTCCTCCTCCTCTTCCCCCTCGTCCTCCTCTTCCTTCTCTTCCTCCTCCTCCTCCTCCTCCTCCTCCTCCTCCTCCTCTTTCTCCTCCCCCCCTCCTCCTCCTCCTCCTCCTCCCTCCCTCCTCCCTCCCCCCCCCCCTCCTCTTCCTCCTCCTCCTCCTCCTCGTCCTCGTCCTCGTCCTCCTCCTCCTCCTCCTCCTCCTCCTCCTCCTCCTCCTCCTCCTCCATCCTCATCATCATCATCATCATCATCCATCCCCCCTCCTCGTCCTCCTCTTCCTTCTCTTCATCCTCCTCCTCCTCCTCCTGCTCCTCCTCCTACTCGTCCTCCCCTCCTCCTCCTCCTTCTCCTCCCCCGCCTCCTCCTTCTCCCACTCCTCCTCCTCCTCCTCCTCCTCCTCCTCCTCCTCCCCTCCTCCTCCTCCTCCTCCTCCTCCTCCTCCTCCTCTCCTCCTCCTCCTCCTCCTCCTCCTCCTCCTCCTCCTCCTCCTCCTCCTCCTCCTCCTCCTCCTCCTCCTCCTCCCCTTCCTGCTCTCCTCCTCCTCCTCCTCCTCTCCCCTCCTCTCCTCCTCCTCCTCCTCCTCCTCCTCTTCCTCCTCCTCCTCCTTCCTCCTCCTCCTCCTCCTCCTCCTCCTCCTCCTCCTCCTCCTCCTCCTCCCTCCTCCTCCTCCCCCTCCCCCTCCTCCTCCTCCTCCTCCTCCTCCTCCTCCTCCTCCTGCTCCTCCTCCTCCTCCTCCCCCTCCTCCTCCGACCCCTCCTCCTCCTCCTCCCCCTCCTCGTCCTCCTCTTCCTTCTCTTTCTCCTCTTCCTCCTCCTCCTCCTCCTCCTCCTCCGTTTCTGGCGTGCTGCTAACGGCACTGGTGTTGGAGTGTTCTCGGAATTGCAAGGATATCACCAGCGAGAAAAAACAGTCCACGGCAGCTGCAAACCCAGAAAAACAAGGAACTGGATCGAACACCGTGACACACGAGCATCTACAAACCCAGAGTAAAAATATAGATCGGGCGAAGATGGCTGCACGACCGCAGGCCAGGTGATATCCGAGCCCATAGTTGTGAAGGCATGTGAAGCGAGACTGGCTGGACCAGGTCAGATCCGGGCATTCATGAACCCTGAGCTGGAAGGGATGTCTCGCGTGCCTCGAAGCCTAGAACTGCGAGGATGTCCGCAGCCAAAAAGGCCTGGACCGCCTCAGGACAGCGGCCGACATCTCGAAGACCACAATTGCAAGGATGTCCCAGGCCAAACCGACCCGACCGCATCGCAAACGGCACCTGAAGGACCGAACAGAACGCAGCTGGGTTCGCCGCCACCGCCATGGACAATGTTTCGCACGGGACCGCCTCGCTCATACTCCACCCCCGCCTTCTGGGCAAGAAACGATCCATCGCGATTCCTTGCCGAACCCACCTTTTTTCCTTCGGGGACGGGGTCATGACTGCTTCTGGATACTTGTTGCCACCTCGCCAAATCTACCAAACGCTAACCCGAGTCACTGCCGCCCACGGCTTCCTCCCTGGAGTTCGGACACACGATGCGACCCGTCAGAACCACGATCATCGAAGCATCACGGTCCTGTGGATCCGCCGCCGTACTTCTGAGCACGGAATGGGCGTGCCCTCATTTTCGTACCATCATCCTCTCAGTCCAATCCGTACACCTGAAGAGTCGTGCGGACTCCTCAACCCCACATTGCGAAATCTCCTCATAGGGGGCTTTTCGTTGTGTCTCGCGTGAATATTTCGGAGCGATGGAGACCCCCAAACAAGCCAACAGGACCCGAGAATCACCCTCAACGGCCCCAAACGCCACGATTGCGCAAAGATCGCGCCAAGACGGCCGACGAGGCGTCAAGATGCCGCAAGAGGCCCCCTAAATGTCCCAGGAGGCCTTGCCTATGCCTCCCAGCAGGACCAGAAGCGGCACTACACATTGATTTGCCTCTGTTGTTCCCGAGATTCTGGCGTTGCCGAAATCTCGTGCACCACCCTGGCACTGCCCAAGAGGCCGTCCAGAGAACTCTGTGACGGCCCCAACAGTGGCCCAAGAGAAGGAGCAGAAACCAAAACCGTAGCGCCCCGCCCCAAGTGGCCCAGAGGAAGCCTCAAGAGGCACTCAAAGGCCCCAGAATGCTGAAAGAAACCTCCAATAATCCCTGCACCGACCGCCCCCACGAGGCTCCAAAACTGCCCCCCAAAAGGAGCTCGACATGCAACAGAGAATCTGGAAACACATCTGCACCAACCCCGAACGCGCTCGGAGAAGCACCCCGACAACAAACGAATCAAACATTCGTCGCTCAATTGGGGTCGGCGGCAGAGGCGGCAGCCTTTTAGATTTCCCATATTTTCTGGGTTGTTGTCTTCCCCCAGCTTCCCAAATTCTCCCATATGTTCTGGGGAATCAACGATGAAATGTGTCCGTGTGTTTTTTTCCCCTCCTGAGAGCTGGGCCAGGCGTCGGGGTTCACGGCGCCATCGGGCCTGCGCACCTCTGTGAGCGACCCCTGTCTTCTGGGCGCTTGGCGAAGCTATATACGTATGCGGCCCGCCCGGCGTGAAGGCTGCGCGGCCGCGAGGCGAGATGCGTGCCGCACGCACGATAGACCCGTGCGTGCTGGTGCCAGCTTACGTTTTCCCTGGATCAGCGGCCGTCAACTAGGCTCAGGTCGGGCCTGTCCCCCCACAGGGGGATTCCGGGCGAGGAACTCAACACACCCCAGAAGTGGGCCCCAGATGCTCCAAGAAGAATCAAACATAGCCCCCTGCAGCCTGATTCTTCCCTGGCTCTCTTTGCACATCCCCCCCGCAGGGGGACCGGCCCGACTGAAAACCAGGCAGCCACGCCTCGAGAGGGAGCGAGCCTCCTGGGGAGGGAGGGGCGCGCGGCGCGCTCCCGCGCCCGCGCGCACTGCGGCGGCGGCTACGGCGCCTCACAGGCTACGAGCACCTCGCCACCACTTCACCGCCTGCAGAGGCCGCGCGGCGGGGCCGCAGCCGGGCGGCCGAGAGGACTGGCGGGCCCGTTTTCCACCACCACGACCACAAGTTGGAGGGTGAGGGGGTCCTCCTCCTCCCCCTCCTCCTCCTCCTCCTCCTCCTCTCCCTCCTCCTCCTCTCCTCCTCCTCCTCCTCCTCCTCCTCCTCCTCCTCCTCCTCCTCCTCATCATCGCACATCCCCACCAGAGCACCTCCTCCCCTCCTCCTCCTCCTCCTCCTCCTCCTCCTCCTCCTCCTCCTCCTCCTCCTCCTCCTCCTCCTCCCCCCCTCCAACTTATGAGGGCGGTGGTGGTGGAAGACAGGCCCATCAATGACGGGTCCTCGAGCTGCGCCTGGCCGCCCGCCGCGCCGGGCCGCGCCGCGCCGCCTGCCAGAGAGAGGCCGCCAGCCGAGAGCGGCTGGCGGCCTGGGCGATGGCCGGAGGGGTGCCGCAGCTCGACAGCTTCCGCGGACCGGGGCGCGCGCGCTGGCCCAGCAGGAGGTCCCGGAGGACGCTTCGCACCACTCCGCGGCCGTGGCCCTGGCAGTCGGACGGCGGCGTCAGGTCGAGCCGCGGGAGCGCCGAGGGCATCGGCCTCGACCCCCTCGAGCTAAGGGGCGCCTCTCTGCTGCACGGGGGACCTGACGTGGAGCCGCTTGTGGCACTGCCGGCGGGCGCACTCGGCGAGCCCTCCTCCAGGAGAGAGAGATGTACGCACGCCTCCCGCGCCCAGGTTATGTGAGCTCGTCCTGCAGGGCCCGCCGCGCGGCGGTCGGGAGCTCGCCCTGGGCGCCCCCGCACTGCGCCAACGCGGAGGCCTCGAGCCTCACTGACTACCTGCCAGACCACCCCAAGCCAACCCGAAGACCCGAAATTCGGGTTGGGGGGGGGTATGGGCTCCATATGTTTTTTTTCAGATGTTCCCGGCCCCCCCCTCAACTGGCAATGGAGGGCGAATTGAGGCCTTCGGGTTGGGTTGGGGTGGCTTGGCTTGGCGCTGCCTTAGACAGGTGCGCTCTGAGTGCTGTCTGTTCGCTTGGGCCTTCTATCTGCTGGTGCTTCGTTGTGTTTCTCTGTGCTGCGCTATGCTTTGGCTGCGTACGAAAGGACTCTTTCTGCTGCTGCAGCTGCCCCCATTCCCCCCGGCGGCGGCGGCGGCGGTGAGAGAGGGTGGTGGGTGGGGCAATGCCGAAAATCAATGTTTCAACGTATACGGGGAAGCTGGCAACACTAAGGGCTGGAAACACAACGGACAGAGTGGTTGGAGTAAAGGAAATCGCGCTCGCGCGGGCCTGCGAAAATTCGCCGGCCCAACGGGCCAGAGGCGTGCTAAGATCTCCGGCAACTGGTTAACAATATTTCTAGTTCGCGCGCGCGGGGCGGCCCCTGGGGGTCCCCCGGCGAAAAGTACTCCGACCGAAGCCCGGGAACTATTACTCAGAGATGGTTTCCCCCCAAGAGGCGCCAAGAGGCCCGAAAGAGACCCCAAAAGGCTCCAAAACGGAGCCCCAAGAGGCCAGCCGCGCTCCCCTCAGCAAACATGATCGACCCACGAACCCAGAAAGGAATATAGAAATGTAAGGCATTGCAACATTTCAAAGACACCTGATTGGGCGACGGGCACATGCAATGCTGAATGTATCGATGATGACGTACTGTGCCGAGGGCTGTGCTGTGCTACGCCGTGCTGAACTGCGATGTGCCATGCCGCGATTGTGCTCTATATAGCGTTGTGGATCGAGTCCTCCCTGGCATCCGAGTCCTCACCGAACTGATCTGGAGCGTGAGCTCGAGCTGCCTGAGCATATGGTAGCTGCCCCAGAACTAATCGACAGAGGGAACATGCCAGGAGGACGCGCCGCGGAACGTCCCAAGGGACGCGCCAGGCGACGTGCCAGGGGACGTGCCATGGGGCATGGGGACACACCGCGGGACGTGCCAAGGGGACGCGCTACGGAACGTGCCAATGGACGTGCCGAGGGACGTGCCAGGGGACGCGCCGCGCGACGTGCCAGGTGGACTCGCCACGGAACGCGCCAAGGAACGTGCCAAAGTGCATAGTTGAGTGTATCGATCTTGATGTACCGTGCCGACGGCTGTGCTGTGCTGGGCCGTGCTGAACTGCGATGTGCCATGCCGCGATTGTGCTCTATATAGCGTTGTGGATCAAGTCCTCCCTGGCATCCGAGTCCTCACCGAACTGATCTGGATCGTGAGCTCGAGCTGCCTGAGCCGATGGTAGCTGCCCAAGAACTAATCGACAGAGGGAACATGCCAAGAGGACGCGCCGCGGAACGTCCCAAGGGACGCGCCAGGCGACGTGCCAGGGGACGTGCCATGGGCACGCACCGCGGGACGTGCCAAGGGGACGCGCTACGGAACGTGCCAATGGACGTGCACCGCGCGACGTGCCAGGGGGACTCGCCACGGGATGCTCCGCGGAACGTGCCAAGCAACATGCCAAGCTGCAATGCTAAGGGTATCGATATTGATGTACCGTGCCGAGGGCTGTGCGGTGCCTGGGCGACCCGAACACGTGAAAACACGCGTTTCGCTCAAGACGTTGTCAACACATCCTCATGCTAGACATCGTCCCTGGGCAACCTGGACACGTGCAAACAGGCGTCTCGCTCGAGACATCCTCAACAAATGCTCATACTAGACATCCGCCTGGGCGTCCTGGGCACGTGAAAACAAGCCTCTGGTTCGAGACATCCTCAACAAATCCTCATGCTAGACATCTGTCTGGGCCACCTGGAGGCGTGAAACCAAGCGTCTCGCTCGAGACATCCTCAAGACCTGGGCACGTGAAAACAAGCAATCCACTTGAGAGATCCTCAGAATTGAAGTCCCCAGGAGAGGACAATCTATAACACAAAACAAGCGTTTCGCTCGAGACATCCTCAACCAATTCTGAAAAACAAGCGTTTCGCTCGAGACATCCTCAACATTTAATTCGCCGGCCCTATGCGACCTCGTTATTTATCGCAAAAGAATTTCGCCGGCCCTACAGCCGTCAAAACCGGGGGGTAAACCTACTAAAAGAGAACCCTGGGCTCGAGCCCTTTCCGGGAAAAAATCTCGGCGAAGTCGCTTACTTGCGCCCCCCTGCTGCTCCATCACTCCCCTCTGGCTCCGTTCTCCGCTTCACCCCCCTCGTACATTTGCCTCCTCCCCCTTCCCCCACTGAAGCTGCACACTCCCTGCCCCGCCTCCTCCTTTTTCTTATCCTCCTCCTCCTGCTCCGCTTTCCCCCTCCTTTTCTCGCCAATGCACTGTCGCCCCTCTGCACTGCGACCACCCCCTTTTGCTCCCTTCCTTCCAAACCCACGCATACTCTCTCTCTCTCTCTCTTCCCTATCACGTCGAGGGGCATACCTGTCGCAACAGTTACACTGTGTTCATGGCCCCCGCATGAGCGTCCACGAGCAACGAGCCCCCACAAAGGCGCCAGGGACCTCCCAGAGCGGCACAACCTAGAAACCCCGTGGAAACAACGATTCCCCCGACACCTCAGAAGGTCGACGCGAAGCTGTTTCGCGGGGGCAGCTTCAACACCACCATCCCGAACGCAACGCCTCAGAAAACATGATCGACCCACGAACCCGGAAAGGAATATAGAACTGTAACACATGGCAGCGTTTTCAAAGACACCTGATTGGGTGACGGGCAAATGCAATGCTGAGTGTATCGATCTTGATGTACCCTGCCAAGGGCTGTGCTGTGCTGCGCCGTGCTGAATTGCGATGTGCCATGGCGCGACTGCGCTCTATAGCGTCGTGGATCGAGTCCTCCTTTGCATCCGAGTCCTGACCGAACTGATCTGGATCTTAAGCTCGAGCTGCCTGAACACATAGTAGCTGCCCCAGAGCTAATGGACAGGGGAACATGCCAGGAGGACGCGCCGCGAAACGTCCCAAGGGATGCGCCAGGCGACGTGCCAGGGGACGCGCCATGGGGTCGCACCGTAGGACGTGCCAAAGGGACGCGCTACGGAACGTGCCAATGGATGTGCCACGGAATGTGCCAGGGGACGCGCCACGCGACGTGCCAGGGGGACTCGCCAAGGGACGCCCCACGGAACGTGCCAAGGAACGTGCCAAGTTGCAATGCTGAGTGTATCGATCTTGATGTACCCTGCCGAGGGCTGTGCTGTGCTGCACCGTGCTGAATTGCGATGTGCCATGCCGCGGTTGTGCTCTATAGCGTCGTGGATCGAGTCCTCCTTTGCATCCGAGTCCTGACCGAACTGATCTGGATCTTAAGCTCGAGCTGCCTGAACACATAGTAGCTGCCCCAGAGCTAATTGACAGGGGAACATGCCAGGAGGACGCGCCGCGAAACGTCCCAAGGGATGCGCCAGGCGACGTGCCAGGGGACGTGCCATGGGGTCGCAACGCGGGACGTGCCAAGGGGACGCGCTACTGAACGTGCTGGGGACAAGCGTTTCGCTCGAGACATCCTATCACAATCATCCGAATTCCTACGCGCGGGACGCGGCACGCGCGAGACATCCTCGGAATTCCTGCGAGCGGGACACGAAAACAAGCATTGCGCCTGAGATATCCTGTGAATTCTGGCCCCCCACGAGGCCCCCGCTCGAGACATCCCCCAATTTTGCAAAACCAGCGTTTCGCTCGAGACATCCTCAACAAATTATGAAAAACAAGCGTTTCGCTTGAGAAATCCTGTCAAAACCCAAAGAAATCAAAATTCCTGCGTGCGGGACGCGGCACGCGCGAGACATCCTCGGAATTCCTGCGCGAGGAGCGCTTTTCCGTGTCGCGGTCGGCTCTGCAAAACCAGCGTTTCGCTCGAGACATCCTCAACAAATTCTGAAACCAAGCGTTTCGCTCGAGACATCCCCAACTCTGCAAAACCAGCGTTTCGCTCGAGACATCCTCAACAAATTCTGAAAAACAAGCGCTTCGCTCGAGACATCCTCAAAAATAATCTCGCCGGCCCTACTCCGTGCGTGCCCGCTCGCAAAATAATTTCGCCAGCCCAAGTCGCAGGGGGGCCGGGGGGTTAACCAACTAAAAGAGAACCCTGGGCCCACGCCCTTTCCGGGAAAAAAACATGCGCCGACCCCTGCAGCTCCGCACTGCCGACGACCTCTCGCCCAATCGACCGCGGTGCCTCATCATGGGCCGGCGGAATGAGCGAAGCGATTAAATAAACACGCGCCAAAAACGAACGGTGAAACGCCCCCCCCCGCCGAAGAGACCCAAGCCGGGGGCGCCTAATGCAAATTTATGCCCCAACCCCGCCCGAGAAACAAAAGAATGCGAAACACCCGGGGGCCTGAAAACGATAACGGACGCGATCTTTCTGGACAAAGGCAAGAGCACTGGAAGACGCCCCGCCAGAAGGCGGGACGGCCGCGCCCGATGGCCGCGCTTGGAAGTTCGGTTTCGGGAACTTTCCGAGATTCGGTGCGCGGCGCCCCCCCCCAAGCGGTTGCCTCTCTGTTGCGGGGGTCCGCCCAGGCGAAGCGGAAGCGACGGGGGGGGGCGCGCGCAAAAGAAGATCAGGGCAAACGCGCAATCAAAATAGCAACAACCACGGCCCCCCAAAAAACAAAATGATGAGGCCGCCTTTCAACGCAAAACAAGCCGCGAAGAAAAATAATAACGACGGGAGACGCGAAGGAACGAGGCGACAGGGCGACACCGAGAGAACCCGCCCAAGGACGAAGCCAAAGAGCTCGAGACGCGCAGAACGAACCCTCGCAACATCAGGCCCCCTCGGCTTCCATCCGCGCCCTGTTTCCAGAAAAGGCCCGAGGGCCCTGGGGCTAGAAATAACTGTCTCGGGTTAAGACCTTTGACGTGGGCTCCAGGGCCCTGCGGGCGACGCCTCGTCAGGGGCGGGCAAAGGGGCGCCTGTCGCGAGCTGCTGGG